TTCCCCTAATCTGCTGTGTATTCCTTCTAATGTGTTCTTTATTTGTGCTATGTCATTCTTAATTTCCGTTTTCATAGTTAGTATACCTTTTCTCATATAGTTGAGCATCTTTACCATCATTATTCTGAACTCTATATCAGATAAATTTCTTATCTCCATTTAATTTATCACTTCTTCTGGAGAATTCTCTTGTTTTTTTCATTTGGGGGTTGTTTCTTTGTCTCCTCATTTTTGGTAGATCTGCTACACCTCTCAATTTCCAGTGCAAGACAGTGTCAAATGCTGTTTCTGACTAATTATATCAGGCAGACTCAAAGCCTCCAGAGACCATCCTCTACTTACAGACTGATAGGATTCTGGCTTGAGTAGCCCTCAGGTAATCATCCACAGGTGTGACAAGAGATTTCCAACAGAGTGGGACAATTGCTTCTTCCTAGAGGTGAATTGTTATTCTCAATCTCTTCATGGGCCTCAGAAACTCCCAGGGGTCCTCAAACTTTTTAAGCAGGGGCCAGTTCACTGTCTCTCAGACCATTGGAGAGCCGGACTATAGTTTAAAAAAAAACTATGAACAAATTCCTATGCACACTGCACATATCTTATTTTGAAGTAAAAAAACAAAACGGGAACAAATACAATATTTGTATTTGCATGTGGCCCACGGGCCGTAGTTTGAGGACCCCTGCTCCGCACAGCGGGGAAAGTTTTCCAATATGGTGGTCAACTGTCTCCCCGCGCCCGCCCCCCACTCCACCCCCAGGCAAAACCGCCTGGATAGCAATTGTCTGCCTGAGAAAGATGTTCTCTGCAGCATGAGGGAATGACTCAGCACAGGAAACCTGGGTGTCTGCCTTCTGAGCTCTGACCCCAAAGCCCCCAATCCTGGCTTCTGCTCACACTGCTCCAGTCCACTCTGACCTCCCTTTGCTGGAGCACAAGGTGAGTGGCTGCACAGGGTATCTTGTGTGTTGGCCCTTTAAGAGGGTGCCTGCATTTCCAGCCATTTCTCCCTGGCAGATAGCAACCCTACAGCTTTTCACAGTCACATGTTATGTGGATACCTTTCTCAGTTCTGGTGGTCTCTATTGGGGGGCCCAGCTTGGGGATTAAACCCCAGAGTTCTCAGTGGCAACCCCCCACTGCTGAGATATCTCTCCAGAACTTCAGCTGCTTCTGTGGGAGCCCGGCCAGCCCTCTCGTGCCTTTGCACTTCCCACCAGTCTCTACGTGGTCTCCACTTTCTGTCCTTGATTATCAGGTCTCCAGCTAGTCTTCAGTTGATTATTCAGGATGGGTTTTTTGTATTTTAGTTGTAATTCCAGCTTGGTCCTGGGAGCATGTCTGTGTCACGAATCGTTTTTTAGTATAAGTATGTCCCAAATATTGCACTGAGACATACTAATATTAAAAACATATTGTTTATCTGAAACTCAAATTTACCTGGGCAACCTTGTTTTTGTTTGTTTTGCTAAATCTGGCAATCAAGAAGGCCAGAGTGGTGGTGTGAATCAGGGAGCCTTGTCAGTGGACCAGGAGGCTGGGAGAGCAGGGCCAGATCTGAGAATGGCTGAGAAGAGTGTCAGCCAAAGGAGGCGGTTAGCGAGGGAAAAGGACTCTAAATGGGCAGAGTCAGCCTGTGGACACGAAGGCCAGGGGGGTGAATGCAAACGGCTTTCTGACACTGGCTCACATCAGGTAGAGCCCTGGAGTCCACAGAAGGTGCTCAGAGCTGTTACTCTAATTGGATCCTTTAGCTCTGGGAAGTGGGCACAGCACAGATCCCTATGCCTGGAGCACTGGCGAGGGCGCTGAGGTTCAGGGAGGTTTTGTGAAGGTTCTGTAGTTGGATTCTTAGGAAAGGGTATCAGCTCAAGCAGGAGCCCTGGCAAGCCCTGCACCAAGCTCTGGGAAGCATGGTGCCACTAAGGGGGCAGGGAGGGGGTGGAGAGAGGAGACCAAGCCTGAGAGAGCCAGCTTGGAGAGAGAGAGAGAGGCGGGGAGGAGAAAAATGACCAAAGCTCAGGATCCGCTAGTAAATGATTAGCCTTCCCGGGAACACAGAAGCTGTGGACTGTTTTATAAACGAATGAAATGAAATAAAGTGCAACAAAAATAAAATAGCAAAACTAAAAAGACTAAGATGTCAAACCCTCTGATGAAGGTTCAGGAGAGCCTGAGGGGGCCTCAGTGCAAAGCCTTTGGCTACAGACTGGGAAGCCAGGGACAGCAAGGGACAGTGGTGTCAGGCAGCGATGCCCTCGGTGACCTTATGGCATCTCTTATCTCTTTGGGCCTCATATTCCTCTGCCATAAAGCACAGGGGTGAGCTGAATAGCGAGGGTTCTTCAGAGGAGCTCAGAGACCTTCAAGCTACCTTCCAATTGTCAGGAGATGATGAGTGTTGCCCCAGATGCTGGGGTCAGTTCATTCATTCACCAGCATGAACTGATGCCCTACTGTGTGCCAGGCAGCTTGCATATGCTGGGCAAGGTCTCTGCCTTCATGAGACCTACACCCTTGGGTGTGCCTGGTGGAGTGGGGGAAGACAGACAATAAATAAATGAACAAATAAGCAGGCAGGGAGGGACATTTGAGCCGAAGCCTGAATGATCTGTGCACGCAAATATTTGGGCCGAGAGGCCAGGCAGTGGAGCTGGCCAGTACAAAGGTCCTCAGGGGCAACCATGCTGAGGGTGTTAGAAGAATGGAAAGAAGGCCAGTGACTAGAAAGAAAGTGGGTGAAGTGAGAGGGAGGGGCAGGACCATGCACAGGTAAGGACTCTAGGCTTTTTCTGAGCATGGAAGCTATTGAGGGGTTTTGAGCAGCATTGTAATAGCATCTGGTAGATGTTTCAAAAGGTGGTTTAAAGAAGTACATGTTAAAGACATTGTGCTAAGTGAAATAAGCCAGTCTCAGAAGGACAAATACTACTTGATACCACTAACTCAGAGATGGAACAATGATCACCTGAGCTGGGAGGAAGGGGAGATAGGGAGCTATTAGTTGAAGGGTAAAAATTTTCAGGTATACAAGATGATTGAAGATCTACTGTACATCAAAGTGCCTATAGTTAGCAATATTGTATTGTGTATTTAAAAGTATGCTAAGAGGGTAGATCTTAGGTTGTGTTCTTCTCTCTCTCTCTCTCTCTCTCTCACACACACACACACACACAAGACAAAAGAAAGGGAAAAGAAAGAAATGTTGTATCATGACCAGGTACACAAGGATGTATACAAGTGTATGTTTTTTATAAATAAAATAAAAGTATCACAAAACAATAGATATTTTTCACAACGTATTCTGATAGTCTCGATTCTTCTATTTCAATAAAATAAAAATCCAGTCAAGACCCATTAAGTTGATTTCACAGCCCACTCATTGATTGTGACTTATATGTTGTGCTGCTTTCAGAATATCACTGGCTCCTGGGTGTAAAATATGTTGTGGGAGAGTGGAGGGAGGCAGGAGAAGCAGCAGGAAGGGCAGCAAGGAGGGAGTTGCACAAATCCAAGCACAAGAGGAGAGAGGACTGGACTGGCATGTGGGAGGTGAGGACTGAAGGACTGAAGCAGGTGGACAGACACGGGCTATATATACGGGAAGCAGCATGGGTGGGACTTGTTAATGAATTAGATGCAAAGGGAGAGAGAAGGAGGAATTAATAATGACTTGGTTTTAGGCTTGGGTTTCCAGGGAACAGTAGTGATGACTAGTGACATGGGTTACCCAGGGAAGGAGTAGATTGCAGATAACCAAGACTTCTGTTTGGGCCATGTCAATTTCTTCTTCTTTTAAAAAATATTTTTTAATTTATTTCCGAGAGGGAGAGAGAGAGACAGAAACATCAATGATGAGAGAGAATCATTGATTGGCTGCCTTCTGCATGCCCCACACCTCGGGATCGAGCTTGCAATGGTACACGTGCCCTGACTGGGAATCAAACTGTGACCTCTTGGTTCAAAGGTCAGCGCTCAACACCTGAGCCATGCCAGTAGGGGCTGGGCCATGTCAATTTCATTCCTCTTAATTGTTTCTGTTCTAGACTTAAAATCAGCTGCAGAGAAAGTACACAATAGTTAGAAAGCAACCCCACAGTGCATTGTTAAAGAAAAACAAAAAATTTAGTTAATATCTACTCAGGGCTTACTCCGTGTCAGGCAGTGTTAAGAGTATTACACATATTCATTCCATTCTCAAGGCAATGCTACAAAACAGGTGCTATCATTCATTGTCTTCATTTTACAGAAGATAACAGGGAGGTTATTTTACTTGTCCTTAGTCACACAGCAAATATGTACCAGAGCTGAGAGTTGAACTGGGCCAGCTTGACGGCAAAATATAGCTCTGCCAAGGGAAGAGGTACTCCATCTCTGGAGAGGGATGAATCGCGACTCGGAAAATGGCCACATTATATCACAGAGTCGAAAAACAAAAGCAGGATTCAGGCCATAAGCAGTGCATGCAATTTTTTATCTGCTTCTGTGGTAAAACTATGTTTGTATATCTGCACAGAGAAAAGACGAGAATGATTCATGTAACAGGGCTAACACTAGTTATCACTGGCTGGCGGGATTCCAGGCGGTTTACATTTATGACAATGATAATAGACAGCCATCGTAAAAGAATTTCTTTTAAAGATAGGAAACAAATTGCGACAGTGTTCTGTGCATCTAGCATATGCGATGCGGACACGTGGGACAGGGAGGAGTGTGTTGTGGTAGAATCCTCGGAAGACCTGGGCTCTCATCTCGGGACTGCCCGTGGCTCACCGTGTGGCCTTGGTCAAACCTCGAGGCCCCTCTGGACCACAGGTCCTCGGAGGAGGATCCTAGGGACAGTGCCTGGGAGCAGTGGTGTCCTGGTTAATGTTTAGCAACCGCCTCTCAAAAAACAGTTCTTGATTTGTAGCCTCAGCTGATTTTTGTGCTACGGATACTCCCACCAGTTCCAAGTTTGTACTTAGGTGATGAACAGACTGGGGAGGGATGCTGGCAGCACACCGCAGAGCCTTCCACCATGAATGCAATGCGTGGACCACCTCACCAGCTTGGTAAGAGCAAAACATACTCAAATCATTAGGATGCGATGAGTTTTGAGTATTTATTACCTTTGTTTTTAATATAACATTTCATTGTAATCTTATATAATTTGATTTTTAACAATGTGTTTAACAAGTGGCTGACAAAATCCCTGAACAGTTAGCAATTGGCTCTTAGGCATCCAGCACAACCACACCACTGCCTAGGAGTCTGTGGGTCAGACAGGCTGAAGGTCCAAGGTTCGGAGGAGCTACGAGCCCTCTGAGTCCTTGGCCCCACAGACATCTTGGCCTGAATCACAGTCTCCGGAAGGAGAGAAAGGAAAGGGCACAGGAGACAAGGACTCCAACCAGGAAGACAAGCGGCAGGAAGGGCTGGCGGCCTCAATGTCATCGTGGGAGCTGTTTTTCTCTGTCTTATCAATGGCAGAGGCCGGGAAAACAATACCCCTGACTGAACATCACTTCAGGAGCCGACAGGAAACCCCCCGAGTGGGGGTCTGTGATGAGTTGGCCAACCGGGTGGGCCTGGAGTCCTTCCCCAGCCCCGAGCTCTCACGTGGCCTGCCTCTGCTTCCCACCTCCCAGCATGCTGACCACACAGCCGAGTCTCAGCTCCCCGGCTCTGAATTGGCCTCATGTGCCAGGTCCCGGAGACATCAGAGGCAGTAGCTGCCTGCCCTTCACCGTGAGGACCACAGCAGAAGCAAGGCCAGCCTTCTGGTTCCTTGGCTTCAGGTGTCCCTCATGGGTGCCACCTGCTCTCCACGCCATCTTCACGTCAGGAACTGTGTGGGTGCTGAGCATATCAGCTCCCTGTCGCAGATTTGGAAATTGAGGTCCAGGGAGGTCAGGGAGCCTGCCATATTGTCAACAGAAGTAACGGCACACACATTTGGCCCAATAAAAAAGCCTGAAATCAAATGGTGGGGAGGGTGTGGGCCCACAGGACTCTCCTGTTAGAAATCCGTTAGGTGTATGTTGTAAATGTGCACAATTACTGCCCTGTAGTGCAGCGGGTGCATGTCAGGAAGAGTCCCAGTGGCACTGGTGCAGAACCATCAAGAGGAGAGGGGCTGAGGAAACTGTGCCATAGTCTCGCACGGAAGAGAGCGCAGCTATCTGCATGAATGAATGAGAGTGGCGTGCCTTCATAGGATTAAAATTTAGCAGTGCTATATGAAGTGAAATAAGCGAGTCACAAAGATGTCCAACATCATGATACTCTTTTAAGAAAGTTAAACAACAAATCAAAGATATATACTTTTAAATAAATAAATAAATAAATAAATAAATAAATAAATAAATAAATAAGACAAAGCTATACAAATAGGAAAGCAAGAGAATGATTCCACCAGGTGATTCTCTCTGGCGGGGGGAGCCTGGGGACTTGGCTGGGGACAGACCTCAGAGGTAAATGTGCTGTTGTCAAGGTCTATTTTTATGTTGGCTGGTTTGTTCACAGGGACTTATTATATTAATAAACAAACAAACAAATAAAAATATTGCCAGCCAGGGTTTATGGCTAATGGCCTTCTCTGGGCCCGGGCTGAGGGAGCGGGGGAAGGCTGGCGTTGGAAACCAGAGGACTTGGCTGCTGCCACCAAGTAGTTTTCAGAGGGACAACTCAAAATCACAGAACCAGAAGCCATGTCATCGTCCTCTTCTGAGCATCAGTTTTCACGCAGGTAAAATGAGGTTTTGGGACCAGGTCGTCTTTGAGCCCTTCTATTAGCTGAGCTAGAGCAGGCCCTGCGGCTGTGACAGATAAGCCCAATCTCAGTGGCTGACCTCGAGAAGGTCTGTTTCTAGCTCACCCTGCAGTCTGAGAGGTCCTTCTGCCAGCTCTCCTGCAATGCTGACTTAGAGGTCTGGCCTCTGCTGTCCTGGAGTCTTTCACATACACCCCTCCCCGACCAGAATGGGAGATTTAAAATGTGGAGAACCCACACCTGCTCTTGCTGCCTCATTGGAGACACAGTGTTTCTACACACCTTCCTCTGATGGAGAACAAGTCCCACAGTCCCAGCCCAACTGCAAGGGAGGGTGCACAATGGAGTGAATAGGAGCTCTCGCTACCAAGGCCCCTGCAGTTCTACAATCCATGGAGTCCCTGAGACCAGATTTGACACTCTCCTGCCTGAGTTTAATTCATTTATTTATTCATTAGGTAGACAGAGGGCCTGCTCTAATCCAGCACTGGGCCAGGCACAGATGCTCACAGTCCAGTGGTGGTGCTGGGGGGTGGGGGTGTGAGAAGGGAGGACTGACCATTTTACAAACATCATCTATATAAATAAAAGCTTAAGCAACTGTTAAGACCGAATGACTGGAATGACCAGAATGACCGGTCGACCACTCACTTAGACGTGCACTGACCACTGGGAGGCAGATGCTCAACACAGGAGTTCCCCCTGGTGGTCAGTGCACTCCCACAGCCAACCTTCTGCAGCCCTTCCCCCTGGCCGGCTGGCCCCCCAATAGGCCTTGATTGCTGGCCAGGCCGGGGGACCCCATCTGTGCACAAATTTGTGCACCGGGCCTCTAGTAATCCATATGAACACCCTATGGTTGGTTGAGAATAAAAGAGAATATCTTATGGGGATGTGTGAGAGTAGATGTCAGTGTTGTGATGACAAAAGGCTTCTTTGAGAAAATAATTTTTTTCAGGGGGGTCGTGAAGGGTGAGAGAAGACTGCCAGGAAAACTGAAAAAAGAGACTCTTCCTGGCAGGGAACAGCATGTGCAAAGGCATGGAGGCAAGGAAGGCCTTGCTTGAGTGGGGAAAGGCCAGTTGTTTCATTTCATTAGAGGGTAGGGGTGGGTGCCCATGTGGTATTGGGGTTGGAGGGTAGGTTGTACCTGGAATTAGGGTAGAAAGGTAGTCAGGAGTCAGGGGAGAAAGGGCTGAATGTCATGCCCAGTAGGTGGTTGGACTTTATCCAATGGGCAGCCAGGGAAAGATTCTAAGTAGGCAAGGAAGACCAAGGGGTGACCAAGGGGCAGTTTCCACTCCTCCCCAAATGTCCGTTAGCCACTTCCCTGCCATTATTTGATTTGGGTGAGACTTTTCCCAACGTAGGGAGCTCTGCACACTCAACTTTAGGGCGAGTGTCTTAACCCCATCTTCCAAACAGATGCCCATTAAGCCTAAAAACATTCATATTCCAAAGCCGGTCTCCCTCGTCCCCCACAGGACATGTTCACACTCGACCACTGGTCCTGAGTGTTTACACCTCTCCAGCCCCGAAGGCCTGGGTTTTCTCCACAGGTTGAAGCTGTTGATAAAATCTAGTATATGGTTTGTTGTTGCTTTTTTTTTACTTTTTGAGAAGAGTGGATATGAAATTGGAAGGAGAGGAGGAAAGTCATTTCTGCCCACAGCTCCTACGTGAGAAAGGGCCCATCGCCGCCCCGTCACTTTTCTGAGGGCTGTTCCTTGGGGAGCACCGAGGGTGGGAGGGAATGCTGCTAGGCCTATTTCTGTGACTTCTTGGAATCTGAGGTCCAGGGGCTCCTGCCAGCTTGCCCTGGGCCATGCCTAAAGAGCTGGGTGAAGGACCCTGGGCTTCTGACATCCAAGCTGACACCCCTCATGCCCACCTCACAGTGTCCAGCCTTGAAAACAAGCATGCACTCTGCAAGGGCCTTCCAGATGCCGGGGCCTTCTGAGTGTCCATGCCTTCCTGTGTCCTGGGATGCAAGCAACCGTGGGAACATTTTACACATGAGCAAACTGTCCAGTAGAGGATACTCAATGTGCCAATGTCACACAGCTAGGAAGGGGACGTCTCCAAGAGCTCAGGCACTTTCCACAACTCAGCGCCTGTATGGAGTTTAAGATTCATGGGTCTCGCCACCTTTTGTGGTTCTCTTATGGTCAAGAGTCTGGGGGTGGGGCTGGAGCGATCAGGTTGTCCCTAAGGTTTTACCATCATAGCACCGCACAAACATATCTGGGGTTAGTGGTGCTGCAATCAGGCTGAAATCATATGCCCAGGCAACAATGGGGCCGCAAAGATGCCTTCTGTGCAAGATTTGAGCCCCCTGCAGTTGAAGACAACCTCTTTTCTAATCTGCACAAAGTCACCGTATAGGTTAGAAAGGGTCCTGGAAGGGCGGATATAAGTCAAGGATGGTAAATTGTTTTCATCCACTGGGTCATTCCACCCTTAGCAGCAACACAGATGGCTGTGTTGGGAAGGAATCTGAAGTCGCCTGGGAAGGGGCTCTGCACCCGGTGATTTGTGTCCTGGAGATGGGCAGTAGCTCCTGCAGGGAGAGGATTTGCCATTTTGCTATCACTGCTGTAAACTGACACCTTCTGTGTCAACACACAGCCCAAAGGAGCCCAGTGCCCAGTTCTGGCCAGAGGAGAGGGAACCTCTGCCTCCCAGTGTGTTCTTCGCTGTTTATTCCTGAGGCATGGAGTGCGGGCAAGTTCAAGAGGGTTAGGGGTTGCTTTGTGTTATGAGTCACTGTGAGACTTGTTTTAGAGAAACCCCCTCTTCTGCTCATCTCTGCCTGCTTTTCAAGCCCAAACGGAAAGCTGATTCCCCCATGAAGACCCGCTTGCTCTTCTTTCTAAAGTTCTTCCTGCTTCTCTGAATTCAAAGCTCTTGGTTTGAAACTCCACCCAACACCTATCAGACCTGTTACCTGGGCCACTTCAGGGGCAGACACTTCCTTACATGCACCCTCACTCCTCCCAACCACCACTCTAGATAAATGGAATGTTACTCTTATTGAAATTATTAATGCTGCCATGTGATTATTTACTGCCACGTGATTGCTTATTCACAGCTAGCAAACTGCCTTCCTGTTCACATCCTCCTCTGACCCCATCAGTCACTGAGAAAGCTGAGGTTTCCAGAGAGGGCAGGCACTTGCCTAAGGCCAGTCAGCCAGATTTCTTTTCTCCAAATCCTGTCTTCTCCACTGTCCCATTCTGGAGCCCATGGGCTGGGCAGAGTCACCAGGAAAGGGGCAGGGACTCAAGCCTCACCTGGGAG